TGATGGGATAAGATGTGACCCGGTGTTCCGTCAGACCAGCATACACATAGTCGATACGCATTCACAAGACGTCTGATCTGCGTTTATCCTTTTAGTTTTGTACGAAAAATCCACTTAAAGGTTTCATAGAATGCAAAACCTAGTTTCCATGGTAATAGATGAATAACAATGGTTCAGTGGGTGAAATGGACGTACAGAGAAGTTCAAACCCCATCAACTCCTCCTCTCTCTGTTAATGTCACTATTCTAAACTTCCACCATAAAACAGGTGAATCCAAACGAAGCAACGAGTTGATGTAAACTCTGGGATGTTGCCTTATTCGATTCTGGTCTGGACTTTTGTCACGCCCTGAAATTGACATCCAGCTTTATTGTGGACTGGGCCGCTGACTGGACCGGACCTCAGCAGAGAGACATGAGCCGCACATCCTCAGCCGGAGGAAGGGGGGCTGGGGGCCGGAAAGGCAGGCGGGGAGAAGCACGGGGCGGCCGGTGTCCAGGCTACCGTCACTGGCCACCCCACTGGTTACCCCACTGGTTTCCCACCGGTTACCCCACTGGCCACCCAACTGGCCAGGGTTAATTGTAGTAGCATCAGTTTAGCATTTCCTCCATTCTGCACAGCCAGGAACATAACATAAAAAAATCCCACAATAAACCAGGATCTGAGGAGGCGTTACTGAAGTCTTTCTCATTTCTACAGGTAGGTTTAACACTATAGTCGATTCAAACCCTGAAATAATGGCTTTTAGTTTCAGTGGCCACCCCAAGGTTTTTAGTGGCCCCATCTGCCCCCCTATGGAACATTTTGTGAGGAACAGAACACGGGATCCTTCTACAACAGAACCAGAACCAAACCGAAGCGCTGAAGGTTTTAAACCCTCTAATGTTAATGTTTTAGAACGTCTAATAAATTTGTTTTTTTCTGTTTTTTCTCCGTGCTGATGGTGTCTGACTGTAGCTCCTCACGCTGAAGCCTTCAGGGCAGCCGAGGCTCAGATTAGCCGTGACTCATCCATGACTCGTGCTGCGAGGATTGTCACAAGATGGAGACAGAGCTGCTTCCTGCTCAGGGCTCTGTTCTTTAATTAGAAGCTGATGGATGACGCAGATCTTCACCCTGACGTTTCCAGCTGTGACCCCAGCAGCTGGATGTCAGAGATTTGATGTGATTTTAGATTCTCAATATAATCCAGCAATCACTGAACTCTGATCCACATTCAAGCAGAAGAGACTAGAACCGGACCTTAAACCATCACCTTCCTCCCAGTTCCAGGCCAAACATCCAAATCCAGCCAGCAGGGTTTATGCTGAACATCAAAATGACGTTTATATGATTGATTGTTAAGTTGGACCTTTTAAGGTAGAGAAGGACTGATAGATCGGCCGGTGTTCCATCAGATGAGCATACCCCGTCAGACCAGCATACCCACAGTCATTACCTGTTTATCCCTTTAGTTTTGTATGAAAAATAGACTTTAAACTACCTCAAAGTAATTACTTACTTTTAGGTGTTTCTTGAAGCGTATGGCGATCCCACCTTAAATAGTTGTTTTTTGTACATCACTAAAGGGACACACGCCCCTTAAGGTAGTTCAAAGTCTATTTCTCGTACAAAACTAACGGGAAAAAACTCAAAACTGACATC